CAGCCTACATAAAACGCATATGTCTATTTATTCAACTTCATATAAATTTAAGTGTTTATTTGTGTACATTTAACGTTACATAATATAAATAAATATCAGGTGAAACCAAATTAAATACATTTATGTATTATGTCTAAAAAAAAAGATTAAAAATTTACAATTTCACTTTTGTTTTAAAAGTAAAACTCTCATTAACCTAACCTTAAAACTCAATTTAGCTCTCGAACTATATGATTCTCGTCACATTCAACTAATATAAATTGTTATTCTCCTTTGTGCCCCTTCTCTTGAAAGATAAAGAGAGGAGAACGAGTTATTCATATTTTATTTGATTGTAGGAGGTAAATTAAAAGTTTAGTGAAAAATTTAAATATTTTCGACAAAATAATAGATATGTCTCTTACCTTGTACATATGTGGAGGAACTAATTTATTTTCAAAAAATTATCTGGTTTGAATGTTATATGAATGGCTTATCTTAATTTGTTATTTTAAAATACCTAATTTATATTCTAGATTATCAAATTTCATTTTTTTAAAGAAAATTACGCGGTTAAGCAAACTTATACTATTTAATTACTCATCATAGCTATAGTTTGCTATAATTACCACTCGCGACTAACATTAACCATTAATTACGTGGGCTGACTTCGAGTTTGTATAATTAGCCACGTTTGCATATGTATAATTCGCCATATTTGTATAATTTACAACTAACAATTCTTTGTTTGATTTGTATTTGTATACAATGGTTTATTTGTATATGACGATGATTTCCTTTGGTTTTTTAGTTTTGTCATCATATACATTCAATTTTTTTGTGTAAAACTTTTTAAAGTTTGTATAAACGTGTAGTTTTCGGATTTTGTATAATTGTCTAAAGTTCATATGTTTATGTTTGTATCCATTCGTTATTTTGAGTTTTATTATATTTGTATAATTTCAGACTTTATATTACTCAATTATACAAAAGCACGTTAATTATACAAACGTACCTACAAAATTATACAAACGAGATGCGAATTATACAAATTATTTTCCTCTCTCGCTCGCCTCTCCCCCCCCTCTCCCAATCTCACTCGCAAGAATATACAAATACATATGTATAATATATAATTATCTAACCGATATACATATACAATTCACCTCTCTCTCACTATCTGCCCTCTCTCGCTCGCCTCTCTCCTCCCTCTCCCAGTCTCGCTTGCCACTCTCCTCCCTATAACATGTAGCTACGAATCGTAATTAACAAACTATAGTTATGGAGCATAATTAGGCTATTTTTGAGTGTCTATATGCAAAAGTTTCCTTTTTTTTTAATTTCTTTTCATATCATATTTTTTTGTTAGTGACTTACCTATAGTAGAATAAATAAAAAATTATTTTGGGAAAAAGGAGTTAGAAATAGTCCACACTTGTTATGAAATCGAAGAAATTAGAAAGAAAATTAAAGAAAGATGGAATGATAACTCATTGCATTAATTTTAGTGTTGATTTAAATAGAAAAATATATCACTATTTATAAGTAATTAAAGAGAAAAAAATAAAAAGAATATATTTTTTTCTTATAAATTTTATATTAAACTAAATTTATGTAATTAATATAAAATCTATACTTGGAAGGAAAGAAAATATTCTACAGTAATTTATAGGCTACAAAGGAAAGTAATTATTCTATCATTACTATAAATCATAAAATAGAAGGAAATCAAATTTTAACAATCCTTAATTTATTCCTAATATAATAATAGAAAATCTTATTTATCCAAAAATATATATATATTTGGTGTGCACCCAAGATAGGATAATTTTTTTAAAATTATTTTTGTCTTTTTAATATTTTTCATTATGTAAGAAAAAGACTCTACTTGTACTCTTGCAGTAACATATTTAAAACAAAATTATTTTTAACTTAGGTAGCTTTTTGGTGATCATCTGAATAATTTTTTTAGGCATGGCCGATATAGCAAGGATCGGAGTTGTTGGCGCCGGCCAAATGGGTGCCGGAATTGCTCAACTCGCCGCCGTCAACGGCGTCGACGTTTGGCTTTACGATTTGGATTCTGAAGCCCTTACTAAAGCCCAAAAATCTATTTCCAATAATATTCAACGCCTCCTCACCAAAGGACAAATCTCTCAGGTATTATTACTCCTTCCATTTGAGTTGAAAGCTTTTGTAAATTGCTTGCTTTGAATTTTACGTTTTTAATAAGATTTTGCTTGCTTTGAATTTTACGTTTTGGAGTTCCGGAATATAAGGTCAGAATTGACTCCTCAAATTTTATGATATCACAAATTTTGGGAATGTTGAAAAATTCTTGTGAAAATAGCTCATTTGATTCCCAAAAGTTGTACTACTTACTCTATGGAAGTGTTGTTTAGGGTTAATTTGGGAGTGATTATAAGAAATGTGAACAGTGATGAGTTCTTTCTTGTGTTTGATGATCTATGATAAAAACAGGCAACGAGTGTGGATGCTGTGAAGCGTCTTTGTTGTTCATCGCGCTTGGAAGATTTACATTCAGTTGATATTGTTGTTGAGGCTATTCTGGAATCTGAACAAGTGAAGAAAACTTTATTTGCTAACTTGGATAAGATTGTAAAGAGCTCTGCTATTTTGGCTTCTAATACAAGCTCTATTTCCATTACTCGTCTAGCATCTGCAACGAGCCGACCTTCCCAGGTTTGCTTCACTTGGCTGTTGATAAATTATAGACTGAATGATGGCATATGAAACTTATTGAAAATAGAACAACTTTATTGATATGCAAATATGTGTGCTAAAGTTCAGTAAAGTGCCAAGATTCAAACAATTGCACTAGTCTTGCTTTATCTATATCTTGTTGTCTTTCCTTTTAGACTTTCGGAATCTCAATATCTAGGCACTCTTGCCCGAACTGGTAGGATTTCTTGTGGTTGTATTATGGTTGCTTTAGTGTGTATGTCCCATCTTTACTAGTCATCATCTGTAAAAACATATAGAATATTGGTAAGGTGAGGGAATTATCGTTCATCAGGTCAATGAAATGGGTGGTAAGGTTGAAGGTGTAAGGCTCCTCACTGCTAACCAGAAGACAAGGGACTAACAAAACTTTTTAGTGGCTGCTAAAAAGAAATATTGGAATGTCGGTTGATGTGAATAAGGGTAAAGAAATATGTTTGAGGAGCAGCGGTCACAATAATGGATAGGGAACAGTATTTCTCAAGTGATGGTTTGAAGAAGAAAAAGGTTTTAGTTCAAGTTAGATATAGAACAGAATCAGGCACTTGTAGTCATTTGCCTTTCCCAATGTGCTCTGTCTATCTATCTCTGTGCCTCTTTTATGTAAATTCTAGTTACATGAATCCATCAACTGCTTCAAGTCTCTATTCACTGCTCATATATCTCTTCTCTTTTTGTGTGTGTGTGTGTGTTATGTTTTCATGGACAGGTGATTGGCATGCACTTCATGAATCCTCCACCGATTATGAAGCTGGTTGAAATTATCCGTGGTGCAGATACATCAGAAGACACATATTGTGCCACTAAATGCCTGGCAGAGAGGTGACTGATAGGAAAACCCTGCAACTAGGATTTAAATAGATATGCATGTCTCCTCAACAGTTAGAAATTTTCTGTCATGAATGCTTACGCTTTCAGATACGACAGTCATATATAATCTACATGCCTTGTGGGTATAATATTTCCCAACGTTTCACTGCCCCCAAAAACAATCTCTCATTCTGTAGCTGCAAAGCTTCACCTTTACAGAAATGATTAAAACTCTCTCCTAAATCGTTTGGCCCAAATGTATCTTAAAAGAACTGTTTTCTTCATGAAGGCTGTTGTGCTTGGGCCAAATGTGTCCCTGTTTAGTGGTTGATAGATGTAGCCGAAAAAAGGAGAAAGTGGTCTTTGTTATGTCCCTATCTCCAGATTTGAGATTGTTTGACATCTATAGTATCTCTACATAAACTACTTTCTGATTTATCTATTATTTGCAGGTTTGGTAAGACAGTTATCTGCTCTCAGGATTACTCTGGCTTCATAGTAAACCGAATTTTGATGCCTATGATAAACGAAGCCTTTCATACACTGTACACTGGTGTTGCAACAAAAGAAGATATCGATACAGGAATGAAACTAGGAACCAACCATCCTATGGGTCCTCTGGAACTTGCAGATTTTATCGGACTGGATGTTTGTTTGTCAATCATGAAAGTTCTTCAAGCTGGTCTAGGGGATGATAAATATGCCCCATGCCCTCTCCTTGTGCAGTATGTTGATGCTGGTAGGCTTGGTAAAAAACGAGGCGTTGGAGTATATGACTACCGTGATGCTGCTGCGAAAACAGGAGGATCGCCTCGACTCTGAACTCCTTGCCCTTGGAATTTATGAAACAAATTACAACTTGTTGAAACACTCTCCTTACAATTCAATAAAAGAGAAAAAAAAATGACAGTGTAATTTGTTCTCATCTTATTGCATACCTTCTGTTGTGGCAAGTCTAGACTTGTTGCCAATTCCTCCCTCATTTTTGTATTACATCCTGCAACTAATAATGATCCAAGTTGGTGCCAACGACAACAAACCCAATGTAATCCCACAAGTTGGATCTAGAGAGGGTGGTGTGTACGTGAAACTGTTCCTTAAGTTGGGGCCATTGTATTAAAAATCAATTTGGCCATAGTAATATTAAAGTAAAAGCTAACAATCAACCTTAATTAAATTAAATTCCCTAATACCATTAGTACGTTACCTTTATCCATGTGCTTTATATCAAACACATACAGTCAATTTCATATAGACTATATATAACAACATATTCGCCCTGAAACCTTCATTTCAGTTTCATTTTCCTCTCACTTCTTCACTAATTTCAGTTTCTTGTCCATTTCATTTGTCCCCCTTCTTTATTTCTATGTGTTTTTGTGACATTTTCTGTATCTATACAGTTATTAAAATATCATAGTAAGAAAATCTCTTGCACATTTTGAAACTGAAGAAAACTTAAACTTTCCATGGCTCTACATAGACATGTTCCAATATTAGTCCTACTGCTGATTTTTTGGTCTAGCTCTTTGAATGCTTATCAATTCGAACTTGGTGGCGTAGATGATTGGATTGCTAACCCTCTTGAATCGTTCGATCACTGGTCTCAACTAATGAGAATTCAAGTTAATGACACTCTTTGTAAGTATCATCATCCTATGTTAATCTGTTTAATTTGTTTATATGACAAGATTTCATGAATTGATCTTTGTAATTGTTCGTTTTTTTTTCTTCGTGTTTGTATGTGTGACACAGTGTTTAAGAATAAGAAAGGATCAGATCTGGTGTTGGAGGTAAATAAAGATGATTATGACAAGTGCAATATAGAACATCCGATCAAGAAAATGGAAGATGAAAACTCTGTTTTTGAATTTGATCGTTCAGGTAGTTTTTATTTTGTTAGTGGTAATAAGGATAAGTGTAAAGAAGGACAAAAGTTTGTTATTGTTGTTGCTGGTATGATGCTGCCTCCTTCAACTCCGGTACCATCACTTGCTCCTGTTGGTTCTCACTTATCTCCGAAGGCACATGCACCAGAAAAGGCTCCAATTGGGGTGTCACCTGGCCCTGTACCGGTGCATGTTCCTCGGGGTACTAGTTCAGACTCACCTCAAATAAGTCATTCACCAGGGGTGGCTCCAACGTTGGCCTCGCCTGGTTCTACTAGTTCTCACTTATCTCCAGTATCTAGTGCACCCGAAGAGGATCCAATATTCGGGTTGTCACCTGCCCCTACAGATTCTCACTCATCTAGTACGGGCCATGCACCTGGAAAGGCACCAACACCGGTGCATGTGCCTCGAGGTATTATTTCCGATCCACCTCAAACAACACATGCACCAGGGATGGCTCCAACACTAGAGTCGTCCCATGGGGTTCCAAGAGCTAGTACACATCACTCTCCCATAAAGGCTCCAACACCGTCATCATCCCATGTGCCTTCCGGTTCCCATTTAGCTCCAACGGCTCTGTCACCAACATTAGCTAATGTGCCTTCGAGTAGTGGTTCACACCTATCTCCTGAAACTCATGCACCAGGAAACGCTCCAAGTGGTGCGTCGCTTGCCCCTACTGGGTCCCACTTATCTCCAACAACACATGCACCCGAAAAGGCTCAAACACCTGCATTATCACATGTGTCTCCAAGTCCAAGTTCACACCTATCTCCAGCAGCTCATGCACCAGCAAAGACTCCAACCGGGGCATCACCTGTTCCTGCTGGTTCTCACCAATCTCCAATAGTTCATGCTCCTGGTAAGGCACCAACACCGACATCATCAAATGTGGATCGAGGTATTGGTTCCCACTCACCTTCCGTTAGCTAGATCGTTTATAGACTTCTTTCAATTCTATAAATTTAGGCCTTTTATGAGAAATGACTAAATGTCAATTTACAATATATTAAGGCTTTGTTCGATCCTGAAATAAATTCGCTTATATTTCCCCAAATAGCACTCACATGAACATTACTTATATCAACTCTGTTCTTTTGACAGCTCGTGCACCTGGAAAAGCTCCAACTGGGGTGTCACTTGTGCCCGCTGGTTCCCACTCATCTCCAACTGCTCAAGCACCTGTCGAGGCGCCAACTCCAGTGTCGTATGTGCCTCGAGGTACTGGTTTAACTCCTATGGCACATGCACCTGGAAAAGCTCCATCCGGGTCATCACATGCACCTGATGGTTCTCACTCATCTCCAAAAGCTCATGCACCTGTAAAAGCACCAACACCGATATCCAATGTTCCTCGAGGTACTAATTCACACCCACCTTCTACGGCTCATGCACCAGGAAAAGCTCCATCTGAGTCATCACATGCACCCGTAAAGGCTCCAACACCAGTATCATCAAATGTTCCTCGGGGTACTAGTTCACACCCACCTTCTACGGCTCATGCACCCAGTAAAGCTCCATCTCAATCATCTCCAAAAGCTCATGCACCCGTAAAGGCTCCAACACCAAAATCATCAAATGTCCCTCGGGGTACTATTTCAAACCCACCTTTTTTTACCCGTGCACCTTCTGGTTCTCACTCAACCCCAAAAGCCCATGCACCCATAAAAGCGGGGCCAACACCTGCACCCTCACATGTTCCTTCCAGTCCTCGCTCACACCTAAACCCGATTGCTAATGCACCCAAAACCGCACCAACGCCAACAACTTCGAAAATATCTCCAAATCCTAGCTCACGCCTATCTCCAACGGCTCATGATGCACCCTCACCTACCGTTTCACCGACAACAGCGAAATCATCCAACGAATCTTCTCCAATTTCATCTTCTCCGTCATCAAGTACGCCGCGATCGGGAACGAATTCTCCACCGGAAAGTATTGCTCCGGCCACCGCCGGCGACAATATTCCGGCGGACATTGATTCACCAGCTAGTTCACCACTCAGTTCTGAATCAGTAGCAGAGAAAGCATCAATTACTCCTTCTATATCAACAGTGTCACTCTTTTTTACTCTAATTTTGGGATTAATAATTTAACATAGAAATTAATTATAGTTATACTTAATTTGGTTTTCTTCTTTCTTTTTGTGTTAGTTAATTTTGATTACTTGAATTACAGTTGTATTGGGGTGTTTAGTTGTTATCTTTTGTTTAATTTTGTGTGTTACATGAACTTTTAATATATGAAAGTATACTCTAATTTTCCTCTGATTTACTCTTTCCCTTTTAACATATTAACCTAATCTTTCTTTTCATATTAGTCTGTGTTTTTAGCTTGGACATATTTTTGTAAGAAAAGATTATTCCCATAATTTATTGGCTTTACCCGGAGAGATGTTGTTTGTGAAGCACCCTTTAATTTATTGGCTTACCTTTAATTAAATAGCTAGGTATTCAATATAGTCACACTTGTTATGGAGTAAATTGTTCAAATGTTCACTTAACTATTGAAAATTATATAAAATTAATTTTTTTGAAAAAAAAAAAGTCATCACTTTTTTATCCCCATATCACACTAAAAGTTTTTATTCCCTCGTTTCAAAATAAGTGTTAACTTAACAAAAATGATGTTTAATTTATGAAGAAATGTTTATATACAATGTATAGTTATATCACATCGAAAGTTACTTGATTGGATTTATTCGACTAACTTGTTATTATTGAACTACGGTGGTAGTGTAAAAATATTGATATAGCTTATGATATTTAAGAAATTAACGCAAAAAACTTGAAACATATTACTTGGAGTATTTCGTACTTAGATTTGTCAAAAAGACATAAACAAGGCTTAATTAGTGAATTACCATGATCGAGAAACTAAAAAGGTGTGCAAAGTTGTAAATCCCTAAATATTGATCGTGATTAATTACCTTTAAAACTACGTTCAATTAAAGGAGGGAACATTAGCAAATCCCAAAACATTGATTGAGAGCAATGCTCCAAAGCTACGTTCAATGATTTAGTAGCTTCGTTCATTTTAGTCGGCTCGACTTGACATTTTTATTAAGAAACTAATTTTTCGTAGTTATGTTTGCTTTTACTTATTCAGTATACTAAAAATACTTTATTTTTATTTGTCACTCTTAGTATATCAAGAAAATCATATTCTTATGCGTCTAACGATATATAACTTGTGGGTTCTAAACTAAACGTTTATCGTGCTCAACATAAGTTACGTAAGAATCAAGATATGCCTCTTATGGCATAATTTGTGGGTTCTGAAATTAAGCTCTTATCTCTCGTTCAACATAAGTGATGTAGGAAATATGTTATGACATTTAAGTCATTGTTATATTATGATTATCACAGAATTAAAAATAATTAAATTTTAAGAGCAAAATTTAATCATCCCAAATAAGGATATTTGTGCAAAATCATAATACATAAATATGTCATTTAACTTCACTTTAGCTAACATCTATGCCATTCAACTTTGAGTATACATAAGTAGACACTAAATCTAGTATAATATTGAACAAGTAGATACATACATTCTACGTGACAATATACATAGGACGTCATGTACACGTAGAACATAAATTGTAATGTAAGATGCTACGCAGGACATTTATGTCTATTTATTTAATTTTATACAAATTTAAGTGTCTATTAGTACAAACCCAAAATTCGAAGACATAAATAATAATTAAGGCAAAGTTTAAAAAAAACACGTTTATGTATTATTCCGTGTGCGCTTTCCTTCTTCGTGTGTGGGTCAAGTATAATGGGCTAACCTAAGTATGATCTAATATGGCCCAATAAATATCATGCCATCCTCTTCTTCTTATTTTTTTCATTTGGACTAGTTGCGACTTCTGAGGTAAAAAAATAAAAATCTAAGATTTATTTTCACATTTTTTTAGTTCTTTTTTCTCCTATTCAAATTATTATAAATCATTAGTATATTGAACCAATTCTTATTAATTGTTCTTGTCGGACAAGTATGGGGGATAATAGGCTTTGGCATGGTTTTCCTAATTTCACAGTCTGACAAACAAGTAAAAAAGGAAATATTAGTTAGTTACATTCCAAATTTACATCCATAATTCCACATGCAAAAAATAATACAACATTGGATGTCAACCAAGAAAAAGGAAAAATGAAAAATGAAAAAGAGAAACAAGAACAATATATTCAGTGTAATTTTATAAATATGGTGTGAGAAAAACAAGGTGTACGTAGATCTTACTTTTATGACTCGTGAGATAGAAATGTTATATCCGATAATTCCTTGACTCAAAAAATAATAATTTAAAAAGACAGACTTGACAAATACACTAGTAAATGCTACGGTGCTCCATCACTACTTCCTCCGACCCATGATGAACATTATTTGTCCCATATTACCTGATCACTTATTAAATCAGGATAGAATTAATTAATTTTTCTCATTTTACTCCTACAATTAATATGACCTTTGGAAATTTATTTCTTTTTTCAAGAGGCTAATTAATATGAAAAAAAGGCAAAATAGTAAAATTGATCAAACTATTAATGATTTCTTAACTATCGTGTAAAATAGAAATTGTCCATCTAATATGAGACGGAAGGAGTAATAATTAAAATAAATTATCATTGCACAAAAATGCAATAATCAAACAAATTGCATATTGAGAAACCATGATGCATATATGCACCATAACTTCTTATTATGTACGTAAATACGTGAATTACTCTTTGTCACAAAAAATTCAAATGCCACAAACCACAAGTTTTTAACCTAAAAAATCTCCACCACAAACCATTCCTCGTGTCTCCACAATAAGGTTTACCTTATTTCTTCTTCATTTCACTTTCACATTTCACCCATCCTTTTATCCTCCTTTTCCCCTCATGTTTTCATTCTAAAGGAAGGGCAAAAACAACAAAAAAAAAATCTCACAAAAATATAAAATTAAACAAACAAACAACAAGAGTCGCATTACTCACATCAATTCCTCAAGATGGCCACTCGACCAATCTTTGTTTTCATGCTCCTTGCCACCCTGGCATTCGCCATGGTTGCAGAGTCCTCGTTGTCCTCCTCCTCCTACTTCAACGACCCTGTAGTCAATACACTCGGCCACAGTTCTGGTGGTGGCCTTGATGAATTGATGACTGCAGGTCGTATCGGGGACACATTGTTTGATGATGAAGAAATGATGATGCCGACAGAGTCAGCCCGTAGGGCCCTCAATAGTCGGGACCACATCAGTTACAGGGCGATGTCGAAGAACGCCATCCCCTGTGACCGACGTGGCGCATCTTACTACCAGTGCACCCGCATGCAGAAGATTCGGCCTTATAGACGCGGCTGCAGCAAAATCACCAGATGCCAACGTCGTTAAAAATGTTACGTTTTATTCCAGTTGCGTGGTACATTATGAATGTACCATGCAACCATGGAATAAAAATGATGTTTTGCGATCATCGCAAAAATATAAAATAATATAAACTAATTAATACTCGGTGAACATTTCGTCTTTTATTGCGACAATATATATATATATATATATATATACACACACACTAACATAAACATGGAATGGATATAAATTTGCTCATAAGAATCTTTTGTTTGTCCATTCTATATATTATTTTAACTTCCTTTCATGATGTTTACATTGTGTACTTTTGTGCCATCATTTGAAGATGATTCATTGATGGTGAAGAATTTGTAAATTGGTGAAATAATATATTTACAGATTCTCCGTATATTTCTTCTTCATTTTTTAATTTGATACGTAATATTCATATGTTTTAATTTGTTAATCGTACTTTCTTTTTTTAATATGTTTGAAAAAGAATGTCTTTTTTCTTTTTTGGCAATTGTTTAATTCTATCTTTTCATATAACATTTCTTTGAATGTCATTTTGATACATTCTAAATATCTTAAGTTTAAGATCATAAGATCAAAAAATTTCTTTCACTTTGATACGCAAAATGGATGACCCTTCCCCATCTTCTAATTCCGCCCTTGCAGGGCAAATTTATATCCTAAAAATAGGGTACATGAATCCACAACACCAATATGATATATAACAAAATGGTGCAAATGTTGCCCTCTCGCTCCGTGACAATATCACAGTGGCAGACTCAAAATTTTTACTAAGTAGGTTCAAGATATAAAAAATAAATATAGATTTTTAAATATTCGATAATGAATTGAGGCTTAAATGTTGATAACCATATTAAAATTCAGGTTTGTTGGAAAAATTTGAACCCCTTTACTGCTAGTTTAGTGTTGTACTTGTATAAATGGAGTCAAAATTTAATATATACATATATAACTTCAAAAATTCATTGAATATATATATATATATATAGTGTTATTTTCAATGAAATGGATTTACATAAATCGAGTTAATCCTATGTAGGTCCGCCCTGATGTAACAAGTCTTGTGCCACATGACCCACGCCGTGAAAAACGTTTGTAGGAAGCGCACGCAATTTGGATGAGCTGATGCATTTAGGCCCATAAATAATGTGCCTTTTATTTAAGTAGATCCCTTTTATATATACTCACCTAACCTAGTAACTACCTTATTATTATTTTTTGTTTTGTTTTGTGTTTTTCATTTTCTATGTGATATTTGTAAGAAAGTTTAACTAATTTTATGCATATCGCTTAGGACGCCGCTTAAGAAAAAAACAAATTCATCGACTGCACCATGAAAATTCAATAACCACCTATCATTATTGTATTCCAATTTTTTGTAATTTTATTAGAGAATCAATCTCTGATCTCCATCAAATTGAACCCTAACCACTCTAATTACAATAGTTACTACTTTATATGATACTACAATTATTTTCTAAATCAATCTAATAATTCCACACGTGAAACATAGATCATCATGTCAATTCCTTTTTTCTAGTATTATTTGTGAAATCAATAAGAAAAAAAAATACTTCTCAGTTCCAAGTTATTGAATTTAGGGGTTATAGATGGTCAGGAGCTAATTTATTCATTATTAAATCTTCCATAAATAATAATAATAATATTATGTTTACTTATTTAATACTAACATTTTTTTGTTATGTATAAAATATTCAA